TTACTAGTTTTACATGTAACTAACGCGGGAAACTTTCAGCTGAATATGATCTTTGGGCTCTCTTTCATAGCAGAGGAAACAAACAAGCTGCTAAGGAGAAGCAATATGTTCCGATTCTCTATTTCAAACCTGGCAAACACACAATAGTTATAAAACAGCAGACGACATTTCTTGAATCGAGCTAGGGAAGATTCCAGAAGAAACGCAGTCACAGAAACGTTCTTTGCACTAAAAAAGGAGAACTGACGTTCCCTGAAATATAACTGCTATCCCCAGCAAAAACGAGAGTGTGGTATCACTCATTACAAAAAGACAAAAAAAACCGTGCATCTGATTTATCACACTAGCAATGCTAGAACGCACGCTTCTTATATGTTACGAAATGTATCTATCAGCCAACATATAGTCGACTTTGACACTAACTAATCTGCGCATGCGTTTGGAGCAAATTGCTTCTGTCCTTGAGAGAATGGCACCACAGGGATAGCATGAGATTTGCAAAACCATATATATATTTTTGTCATATTCGCTCATAGAGGTAACGTAAGTAGGACACGTTTTGCGTAATACACTCGGGTACCTACCGCACCCATTCCCCTTCCCGCAAAGCTAATCGATTAATTGAAATTAATTTATTAAACAATCATTAATATTTACACCATAGCGCCATAGCGTCTTATGGGCTTAGCGGCAGGCAGCCCTCATAACCATCCCAATAGTGCACTTTGTACTAAAAAGCAAAAACAACGCTACGCATACACAAGTACGCAGTGCGGACCTATTTTTGAGATTCGGAGGGTGTCTTAGGTCTTAGGATGAGGAGAGGGTCTTAGGTTAGTCTGCTGGCAGCCGGTTTTTTCTCTTAGGGTCACTTAGACGAGTGTTTAGTCATCGCGAACGCAAAAGGGCAGTATGGCGGTGGCCAAGTGGAGAAGAAGCCGAGTCCCATTCCCCTTTACGCTAAAGCGTCATTCCTCATGACCCCTGCTGAAGTCCTGCACACCCTTTAGTTTAAAACGAAGATTCAGTAATACCTACTGGAGAAAAAGTGACCCGACGAGAAATGAATAGCCTACTTATTGCCGTACCCACCCCCAGAGAAAAGCTGGTTGCCGGGTACAGATAAATAAATCACGCAAAGCCACGCGAAGCGCGCGTGAGATCCGCGCGAGATGGAAACAGGGAAGTTGAACAAAGGTGCAGAAATATGGCGGGCAGCGAAGTTCAAGATCTCGCTTCACTGGAAGCCAGGGTAGTCAACGAAGGAGCAGTGGTAGAGCTGATAAGAGGAAGATACAACCAAGACAAAATTTATGTGAGTAAAGTTTGCTGCAAGAGCTCGTTGTTTTTTTAATCTAACAGCTGTTAGCTGCTTTCTGACTTCTCGAATCGTGCAAACGTAATGTCATTTTGCTAACTTCTACTTTGTAACATGGTGTAATCTGTACAACTGCAGACAGCCATCGGCGATATTTTGCTCTCCGTGAACCCATTCAAAAGTCTACCAATATATGGGACTCAGGTGAGCGTACGATCTCGACTAATATAAGTTTATCTTAAGCTTACATCAATAACTTTATATTGATCGTTTAAACAATTTGTTGTTGATAAATAAGCTACATTTACATTAAATATTGATGCCTGTTGATGCACATGCAGTGCTGTTAAGTTATCATTGCTTTCATAATGCCATATCTGCGGAGACGCAATAAAAGCGAGAATGCTTAGTTTTGCGACTGAAGCGAACAAATGCGATAAAACGCCAACAGATTGAGCAGTGAAATTATCTGTGTAAGGGCTAAGTCCGCCAGATCGCGCAAGATTCAAATTTTGTGTATCATTGTTTTGCAGCTCAATCGACTCGGTGTTAATTTAATAGTGCAGTTAAGAGTTCTAAACAAATCTGTTTTGATCTTGTACGAATGTAAAGATCTTTTTTTTTTTGTCAAAACCCTCAAGCTTATTTCAAATCAGAGCCGAGTAAAGATGGAAGTTAAGGTGGCTCAAAACAGTTTTTTTTTTTTTGAGACTTTGGAACTAAGTGATTTTTCAGGCTTGGAACTGTACTGTTTTGAATGGCTGTGCTATTTTTTAAGGTAACTCCAATGTACCTTTCATTTTGTTCAAGTCATAAATTAAGGTTGCTCTGTTCTGTTGCATAGCAACAAACTTGACCCACTTTTTACAATCATTTGCATCTATCTAAACTAAGCTGATGACCCCATATTTTTTTTGATTAAAATCTTTTTGTTACACTCAGAAGAAGAAACAGGAAAATTCGAAAAAAATTCTGTGGAGTAGATTTTGCTAAAAAAAAATGGAAATTTCAAGATTGCAAAAATTCCACTCCACAGTATTTTGTTACAATTTTGCAAAGTCATTCTGCTTTTGCTGTTGAATAATTTTTTTGCATTAAAAAAGCAGGGTCACCAGATTAGTTTTTGAGATATTAGCTTCGTGGATAAGGAATTTTTAGCGCGCATTCTATGCACAAATTGAAATCTCGATTTTGCAAGATCATACTTTGCGCACGTGTGAAGGCAGTCTGCTGCTCAGTTAAGCCCGCAANTTCTGTGGAGTAGATTTTGCTAAAAAAAAATGGAAATTTCAAGATTGCAAAAATTCCACTCCACAGTATTTTGTTACAATTTTGCAAAGTCATTCTGCTTTTGCTGTTGAATAATTTTTTGCATTAAAAAAGTAGGGTCACCAGATTAGTTTTTGAGATATTAGCTTAGTGGATAAGGAATTTTTAGCGTGCATTCTATGCACAAATTAAAATCTCGATTTTGCAAGATCATACTTTGCGCACGTGTGAAGGCAGTCTGCTGCTCAGTTAAGCCCGCAATTCCATGCGAGTAAACGTGAATACCCAGAAACAGTGTTTTCTTTTTTGCTGTTGTCGTTAGCAGCATAAGCAGTAGAAGAAGAGTACCATAAATACCTGACGGTGAGACTTGCCTAGTAAAAAGAATGCAGAAAACTTGAAGAGTAGTATTTTTCCTGTTGTTTTTTAGATTGATAGCCGGTTGGATTGATTGCAACATCAACATCACAATTTTTGTTTACGTTTCAGCACAGCGGTTTAAAAGAATGTTTTTTCATTTGAAATTCCCTGGATGTTTTTGAAGGTAAAAATACGCGTTGTCACAAACAGCTTACTAAACTTGGCAGAAAGAAAGTTTTACAAAGTGGGCCTCGCACTGCCATATTTGTTGTGAGTTTTGCAAACTTTAAATCTTGCGCGCCATCTCACCACCCCTCAGGTGATCGCGTAGTACCTCACACTGAAGTGTGTTTTAGAGCCCAGGCTTCTCATGGAAATATTACTGTTTTGAGCCACCTTAACTTTATCATGATATTCTGGTGACATAATGCAGTAGAGCTCTGGTGCTACCAAGTGGCAAGCATACTCATAGGAACCCGTGTATAGCGGTGCTTGTCCACCGCTAGCTGGACCGCACAAAATCCACGGATAAACACAACGTATTTCGCACCAAAACTTCTTTAGGAACGCCTTCTTTATTGTTGTATCGTATCGTGAAACTAAAAACAATTGATTTACGAAATTAGGGACAAGCAAATAGCTTAAGAAATATTCCGGGTAAATCAGACTTACATCATTGCTGGATCTGTCGAGAGTTGACATCAATAGAACCTTTCCTTCCTTCAATATGACTAACAGGCAATGAGATGTAATTTCTTTCCTTCGGAGCACGAGTGCTTGCGAAAACTGATCAAAGGTCCTTTTTTCCTAAATTATATTGAATTACACAATAGATGTCTNTTGTATCGTATCGTGAAACTAAAAACAATTGATTTACGAAATTAGGGACAAGCAAATAGCTTAAGAAATATTCCAGGTAAATCAGACTTACATTATTGCTGGATCTGGCGAGAGTTGACATCAATAAAACCTTTCCTTCCTTAGGTATGACTAACAGGCAATAAGAAGTAATTTCTTTCCTTCGGAGCACGAGTGCTTGTGAAAACTGATCAAAGGTCCTTTTTTCCTAAATTATATTGAATTACACAATAGATGTCTAGCGCAACATGCGTTTGGTATGGAAACGTGAGACAACTTAAGAGCGCGTGATGAGCCACCTAGTGTGACTTTAAAGATTAAACCAAATCAAATAAGGGATTTAAACTCGTGCTATAGGGGCACTTACAATCAGTGATCTAACATCATTCAGATTATGGCGCATCAAAGGAACTGATGATTCGTGACCAGAGTGGATTCATCACTTCCTGTGATATACCATAATCTGAATGATCTTGGATCACTGATCCAGGTCCAGATCAACTGAAAGGAATGTACCCTTATGGTAGCTATCCTCTTAAAATTTTAAGGAATAAAGCTAAGGCTGGAAATATTAATTTATACATGTACATGTTATCAAATTATGGTGATGCTAAAGATAAGGTTAAATTATCCCTCCGATGTGTTTTACTGTACAGTTCTGAAAAATGTATGTATCAGTTAGAATAGCTCATTTATCAGCCTGACTTTTAAATAATTTATTCAATTCTTGGCAGGATACATTGACTTGTCGAAAAGAAGAGTGTCACCAGAGGAAATCAAGAAATGTGAAGAAAAATATACAAAAGCAAAAACTGTAAATATGCCATTATTATTTTTTATGAAATCAATAATTTGAATAAGGGTTTTTAATATTCTTATGACACTGGAGAAAATGTTCACTGTAACTTCTTATGAGGGGTAGTGAGGTGGGGGGGAGTACATGTTTAAAGGGATTGTGCACTATAGGTTGATGAAAATAACAGTCCAGACCTAGAGTCATAAGTTCAAGTTGTGACCCTTGTATTCAGTGTGAAGTAATTAGAATGCAGTTACTGGAAAATTTTGTTTAAAACTTACTTTTGACATAATAAACAATAATCTGTTCTGTTGCTGGAGCTAACTGATTAAGTCTGTTTGCAAGCCAAGTGGTCTATCAGGCTGGTGTTTATTCCAGTATCAGTAGCATGAAGTGACCAGCAGTATTTCTACTCCCCCCTGGATGGGATGCTAGTCCATTGCAGGTTACCCTTCGGCATAAAGCTTGCTGGTACCCATTTATACACCTGGGTGGAGAGAGGCACTGTGAAAGTGAAGTGTCTTGCCCAAGAACGCATCACAATGTCCCCAGCCAGGGCTCTGACCCAGACCACTCAATCTGGAGGCGAACGCACTAACCATGAGGTCACTGGGCCTCCACTGTTGCTTGAGCTACTCCTGCAATTGTCACTCACCCGGTCTTGAAACATTTGATCTTTCATAACTTATTCTGTCTTTATCTATTTCTTCAGGTGTACAGTATTTTGAGACACTGTGCTGAGATCTTGGGATATGAAACAGACACACAGTTGGAAGAACTGTATGAGAAGACTGCCTGGTACTTTGATGAAAAGTACAAGTCACCTGGGAGTTCATTTGATGTGTTCAAATTAGCAGTGGGGTGAGAAATTTAAGAGATTTATCAAGAAAATTACGGTGTTTACAGTGGAACCTCACATTACAGCCACCATGTTATTGCGGCCACCTTGTTATTACGGCCACTTTATTCTGGTCTGAACAAAAGCTTAGTCAGTCATTTTCTTATTTAAAGGACCCTTCAATATGGCCACGCCGTTAATTTGATCAAATTTGTTGTGGCCCGTTGGTGACCGGATCAACAGGGTTCCACTGTATCTAATGAGTGTAAATTTGTCAAATGTACTACGACCAATCAGGTGGTAGATCATAGGGCAAGGATAATAATAATTATTAAAATTTACCATAAATTTGTTCAACACACATCTGATTGGTGCCACAAATATCATTTTCTATAATAACTCTTTGCTTTGCAATACAGTAACAAATGCAGTTTCTTTCAAGGGAGCCATTTGCATAGTTGAGAAAAAAAAATCTTTAACCTTGGGATTGTTGAAAGTAGTTGACTGCCAGCAAAAATCTTCATTTCCTTGATGGTCTCAACTGTTTACTCTACTGAGTTAGTCATCTGATTCTTTAAAAGAACGTGGCAAAATCAGCTGCCGACTGCAGCTATGAAGCTGCCAACTTCACAACTTTGTGACTTAACTTGTTATTGTTCAATATTTCAGAGATCCAGCTGTGCTAGATGAATTGAATCTTGATGAGAAAACCAAATCCACTCTGCTTTCTAACATCATGAGAAGACTCACGCCACAAGCTGTTAAGATCCGTGCTGATATCGAAGTGTCGTGTTATGCTTATGAAGGCATTGATGCTGTGAAGAATTCACTGCTAGAGGGACTTAAGTGCTCCTCGGAAGATGTTCCTATCAAGGTAAGTCTAGATCTGTAGGATCTACACTAGGATGACACTAACAATTTTCCATGTTAACTTTTTTCAATTTATATTTTCTTTTGAACCTCTATATCGTTTGAAGTGTCAGGCATCAACCAGGGAGAACAATTTCTTTTGTTTTGTTCATCCTAAGCATTTGGCAAGAAGAAATATATGTTACCTGCTGGCCAGGAGGTCCATGTTGCTTAAAACTGTGCCCAAGGTCTTAAATACGTGTGGCCTTGGGCCATACTCAAGACTGAGGGCAGAGTTTTCCCCAATACCCATTGACCAGGGCGAGCAAATAACATGTTTATTTTTCTCTATGGTATTGCTTTGAAAGCAACTTTTGTGTTGAATTTTAATTAAAGCCGTCCAGTTCAAATCTGGCATATGCATGAATTTGACTTTTCAAGTACAAAAAGCTATTGGAATCCATAACTGTTTGACTCTGTGTTAAATGTTTACATTTTACATTGTTTTTCGGCATAACAAAAGGCTTGAAAACTTGCAAAAATTGGAAACTTCGGAATGATTTGTAATCGGGGCCTGGATGGGAAATCCAGACCACTGGAGGGTGTGATTAGCCAATCAGATGCAAGGATTTAAGATTCCAGACTGCTGAGAAGCTGAAGAAAAAAAAAGAATATTATTAACTAGGAATATTGTCTTGATGTAGTGATATTATGAGAAATACTTTCTGACAATATTGACAATGTGGAATCTTATGTGATTTTGTTTTTCAGATAAATTTGATAGCTGCTCCACTGTATGTGATAACGACAACCACCTTGGATCGTGATGATGGACTCAAGGGTTTGACAAATGCTGTAGATGCCATTAGAACCACCATCAAGAAATATAAAGGAGATTTTAATGAAAAGGCTGCTGTAAGTTCCTAACAACTCGCAATATTATTTTAAATTCTGCAGCTTTGTCCAAATTTTAATATTCTTGGCAAGTTTCAAGATTTAAATTGGATGTAAACTTACAGTGCAGTTTAGAAGTAAGCAAATGATACCCAACTATAATAGTGACAACAAGTTTAGTTAGTAGTTACTTTTCAGATTTTTCTCTCCTGCTGAAAACAGGGCAAAAATTGTGCAAAATGGAAACTGAAATTCATCAAACCAATTTAGCGTGCCACCTTTCCCTTATCTACACTAGGGGCACTTTCCAGTGATGAATGGAGCAGCATTTTCTGGAATTTCCAGAAAAGAGGACTACCTCGTGAGGTATACCCGAATTGTCAAAAATTTCTTACCAAGAATTTCCATTTCATTTGATTCTCCTCACACAATTTTCGAATGGTACCATTTTGGAATGGTTTACTCTTTGGAAATTTAATAATTTTTTTACCTTCTGAAAATTTCCCCAGGAAGTTTCAGGTCCATTTGTCACCATTTTGAAATTTTCAAAAATTTTCAGTTGAATGGAGCACCCATGGTAGTGACTTAGCTCTTCTCTCTCATCACAATGATATGTGATCCCCTCTCCCAGCAAAAAGACCACTAACTAACCTCCAAGTCGATAGAATATTGGCTGTACCTTTAGCACATTTTTTTTCCTTTATTTTTTCTAGCCCAAGGTGGTCACAGAGAGTGATGAAGCTGAACTTGCCAAGCAGATGGAAAGATTAGAAAGAGAAAATGCCGAGGTTGATGGTGATGATGACAACCCTGATGAGGAGGAAATATCAGAAGATATTAAAAATCTTTAAATATCCATCAAGAGTTTTACCTTAAATGTTACCAACCAATATGTCTGTGTGTGAATATTGGTCGAGTTGCATGAACCCCTTAAAAATATGATGACCCATATTTTCACATGTTTGTGCCATAACTGCAACAGTTCTTTCTCTTTTATCATTTCCTACTGGACTCGGGCCATCCATTTATGGATAGGAGTGCATTGTTGTTTCTACTTTAGTTAGAGTCCCATTATGAACTGTTCCCATATGGAAAGGTGCAAGTGCAGTCCAGTTTTCAAAATGAATGACTCAGTAGCCATGACAACAAAAAACAAGATAGGTTATTAATTCAACTCAGATAGAACTTTCAGATTTCTGTTGCTTTCAATGTCATTTGCATTGCTTGTATGATCTACTTCCCCGCCTCCTTTTGGGGAAATAAGGACAGTTTTTGATCAACTAGTTTCTGATTCTCATGCTCACTACAAACATTTGCACTCTAGTATAGTGCAGTTAGGAGACTTGCTGTTGCTAAGCAACTTTTGTGGCTGAAATTGCAATCTTGGTCAGTCATCACAGACAGGAATTTTGCCCTCACCAAACAATAATTATCTGTCTCTCAAATACTTTGTTAGAGTAATGCCATCTGTAGTTTTCCAGCAACCTCTAGGAGACTGCAATCCTTCTTGTACAACTGCTGCAACCAGAAACACGTAATCTCAGGAGGCAAATAGATTGTGTAAAAAAGCAGAGCATTTTTGTTAAAATTTTGAATTATATAGTCAATGGGAATTGGCTGAAAAAAACTGAAGTTAAATGTTTTTGTTTTGTGATGTGGTTTTGCTTCTTGTGGCACTAAATTACCTAGCTAGGTGCAGACTTTCTGTTCAGTGACTAATCAAATTACAGGATAGTTTTCAAAATAAATAGAGAACTCATTAAAGCTATTTGAAGTGCAGTTTTCTGAATCTGGGCTCAGCTAATCATGAATAGTAGTAATACTACTGCTGGATTAGGGTTGACCTACTTTTTAAACGCTGATCTCCGGTGTGGGATGCTAGTCCATTGTAGGGTTATTCCCCACCAAAATTTGTTAAATTGTTGGTAGCCTTTCTTACACCTGGGTGGGGAGAGGCGCTGTGAGAGTAATTAGTATTGTCCAAGAACACAATGACATGAGGGCTAGGGCTTGAAACTTGGACTGCAGTTGACCAGTTGATCCAGGGTCTAGTGCACCTACCCATTTCTTTTTTTCCTGAGCAGTTCAGGCTTGGGGTTGTTTTGGTTGTTTTGTTTTTGAGGGAGTGGGACTCGAGTAAAAACCGGTCTTTGGAGTGGAAGAAAAGGGAAAGCCTTGTTTACAATATTTGCCTAAATTAAGTGAAACCGAGCCAATTTCTGATCGAGCTACTAAAATATCTATTCTAAATATTGGAAGGGTATAGCATGATTTATGACCCAAGGAGTTTGAGCCCAATGAATTAAACATTTACAGAGAGGAAATTCCGTTCCATTCGATTTTCCTCCCGTAATTTCTGGAATTTTCGGTTGAATGGTTCGTATTTCAGAAGTTCGACAATTTTCAGATTTTGCGGACACCTTTCCAGAAAATTTCAGTACCATTTACCCCCGTTTCGAAATTTCCAGAATTTTTGGTGCAATGGATTTCCCGCGAGTTCCCATGTAAAATTTCCGTGACCGAAAGAAACTGGGAACGAATAGGAATCATGGCTTTTGATTTCATGATGGCTATGCCAATGTAAAGTCTTGATTTTCATTATCCAAAGATCGAGAATTATATGTATGCCAATTGCCAAACCTATGCAGACGCTCTTTTGCCCAAAGGGCGTTTGCGTTAACCTTCTCTGCCGACTTACCGACCTCTCTCACATACGCTGGAGTATCACTTTGAGAGAAACGGTTGAAATCCTTAGCGCTTGAACTTGTTGCACTAACTAAAACGAGAAATGGCAAAATATCGTTCCGGTTAGCCTTAATAGTGCTCGGGTCAGCCTAAATATCAC